TCCTTTGCTCAAGGCTAAACAGATTCAGTTCCGCTAACCTCTCCTCATAAGACATTCCTCTAAGACCAGGAATCATTATCATAACTATCAATTAGTTAACTAGTAAGCATCAGCTTACAAAATACGGTATTATACATACAGGTCTGGGGGAAAAAAATTGAGACCACTCTATATTTTTTAAAAATCTGCCTTTTTAAATCCTGGTTTTGTGGCAGAAGGCCATGCTGAGCAGCAGGTTGCTTCCAGGCTCAAAATTTCTAAGACAGTAGGACACAAGAACAAGGTGAAGCAGGAGACACTGGCAATAACCAAAAACCAACCAAGTAGAGGGCAGAAGCAACTTTCTAATGCCAGAGATGGCCACCAACTTATCCAACAGTTCCTCAAAAATCGGAGGATGACCTCAAGTGACCTTCAAAAGCAATGGGAAACATTAAGTGGTGTGCACTGTTAGGACAGTTCGTATCAGGCTACTAGAAGCAGGACTGAAGAACCATAAAGCAAAGAAAAAGTCCTTTATCAATGAGAAGAGCCAGGCTGGAGTTTACAAAATATATTTTACACACACACATTATAAAAATTATTAAAATTACCATACATATCAGAAAAGTTTTCGTGTCCCTTTAATATTTTTAGGATGTGTAAAAAACCGATTGACACTGACACACATACGGACTCCAGAAAAAAAGCATGTCTTGCAATTTTACAAACACCGATTAGTTTCCTCACCTGCGCTTAAAGTTTTCCTCTTCTTAGAAGTCGGCTTGAAGACAAAGCAACCCTAAAAACATACATTCGTATTAATACCTGAAGTCCGCACAGGCTTATAATGGTCGCAGCCATGATGCTAATCATTTTACAGTATTACTTGTTGTTTAGTTTATTTTGACTTTACCTTAGATACAGAAGAAGTAGCCATTTCTACACAGATTAAAATAACACCCCTTTATTTATGTGTCCAGCATGCAAACTAAAGAGTTAGTTACAACATTCAACAGTAAAAGACGCCCTTAAAAAGAGCCTCCCGCGTTTGACGTAAGAGGTCATCTGCCATCCAGCGCAGTGATATCATTGGACAATCCTGACGTGTTAGAGTTCAAAGGTCATGTAACAGAAACGTTTCCGCTGAGGAAGGGGATTTGCTTTCTGTCCGTCAGGGTTATAGTCGCTTTATGTTGTGTATTCCACGTAAATCAAAATAAGATAGGTTAGGTTCTGAATCATTCCAGAGTCTTCAGTCAGTTCCGAGTTTTTGCGAAGTTCAGTCGTCAGTCTAATGTGGGAAAGTGCGATTCGTTTTCCATTTTCCTTTAATTTTTTTCAAGCCTTTACTTTTAAACTTAGATGATGTGTCTCTGGCGCTGTAACACTGGGATTTCTGCTCAAAATTAATTGTTGATTATCAACTAGCTGAAAAGCCCTGCAGACAGCGTCTAATAAATTGGTCAAATGCATGCATGTTCACAAATGGTGATTTTTGTACACTTTTGTAGGTTATATGAAATTACCGGATTTATGTTATGTATTGTGCTGCCAGCTCTCGTGCATCTGGTATGATACTCAGGCTTTCATACTCACGCGAGAAATCTTACCGCAAATCTATATAAACTAAAAATTAGCTACATCAAAAGGCGCTGGCGTAGTTTGCAAACCCCACAGTCTATTTAAATCTGAAGGTAATATAAAAGGTACATACATGTAAATTGTAAATGCGTGTGCAGACTTGTCTGGAACTGATAATCTAACGCCATCCAGCCGACCGAAGCTGGCAACCCTGCTAATATCTCATGTGCACTGCTGGTTAGGATATAAAGCAGTTCCCTGTTATTTGCTTCGAGACCCCGAGTCCATAACTGAAACCGCGGATAGCGTTGAACCCTATATATACTATGTTTTTTCCTATACATACATACATATGATACAGGTCAATTTATAAATTAGGCACAATAACAGATTAAAAACAATAACTAATAATAAAATACAACAATTATAACAATATACTGTCATTAAAGTTATGTAAATGTGGTCTGCCTCTAACGTGCGAATAGCGTATACACATATAGCGTGACTACGCTGGATAACGGCACTAGTCACGTACCGGGCAGGACGGTGCGCTATTTAATACCTATGAGTTATTTTTGGAATTTTCCATTTAATATCTCCGGACCGCGGATAAGGCGGGCACTTTAATTGGGCAGTATAAATGTTCATGCTTGTTAAGCAAGAGCAATTTGAAATGTTACAGCACGAGATGACAATAATGCCGACTAGGCACACACATTACTGCTTTAATATTCAAATACAGTTATGCACATTTAATTTGTATCACAATATGATAACATCGAATTATTACATGCATACCTCAAACACCACTAATAATAAAAATGTATTATAATTAACATCTATAATAGTATATGATGTGATAATGAGCAGACAATTATTTCCTAATAATGATTTCAAACATTATGAAATTCAAGTGAAAAGCTCATTCCTGTGGTCTATAACTTATGGTAATAGCAGGTACTACAGTGACAGTCTGTGTGGTTCTCTAGTTTTGTGTTGTCCATCACGATGAGCTGGAAAAAACCAACAGTGACAGGAAATTGTAATTCACACAGTAAGCAGTGGATGACATGTTCAAATAAATGAGATAAATACAACAATTACTTGTAATCTAAACTAAATGCTAAAGCATCTATTGTTTTGACATATTTCATAAAGTGAACTTCTTCTAACTTCTAAATTCCAAAATGCAAGGTTAAAGGATTGTGGATATGAAAAAAGTCTGGTTAACATCATTCAGTCCTTGAACAAGGGCTCAGTTGGTCTGTGTCCCAAAGCCTCCTAGACTCAGTATAGCTTCAAAATCATTTATGTCATGGAGGTAAAACACTTTTAGTCTGGAAGGATGCCTACCGTTTTAACTTCTTTAGCTACGCAGCAAGTTGCCTCAGACGTTATGTTCTTGGGGACGACCATTGTCATCTTGGACCTCAGGGGGGTAGGATAAGCTCTGGAGAAGCAACAGCCCGCACACTGGAAAATCGGGGCTCCTGGCTTTGAAAAGTACTTGTTCTCCTTGAGCTTGCACTCTTTGCAGCTTCCTTTTGGGGGTGGATGCAGGTGGTATGGAACACGGAGAAAATGGGAAAAGTCTCATCAAGGCTCCTCTTTGATTACTCAGTATTACAATTTCTTCAGTTCAGCATATGTTCTGTACCAATAATCATGATAAGTAGATGTGCGTTATTGAAAACACGAAAAATTGCCATATTTATAACTTATTACGTATCTTTTTTTTTTGTTGCACATTCAGTAAATGAATGATATTTCAGACTTGCCTTGTATCATCTCACTGTTGGGAAAGGAATCTACAATTTGCAATACCATCACCAGTGCGAGAAGACAGGCTCCAGTGAGTTTTCCCATATACATCATCGTACCTGTAATAACTGAAAAATCAAAGTAACATTTTTCACAAACAGCTGTCTATGGCTTGACCTTCTTCCATTTTCTTACTAAATATGCGCTATTCACCTTTATTATAGTGCAAGACATCAAGTAAAGCACAATTCAAATATAAAAAAAACACCTTATGACAAACCTTGGAGTCCTCCTTGCTTCTGTGTTGGCAGTTCAATGAGGATGCTTGGGTACTAATGTGGGACTTTTTATACCTGCTTCCTTCCGTCCGCAAGTACACACCTGGATTAACTAAAATCCTTTGGCCTTATCAGAGATCAGAATCAACATGAGCTTCGTTGAGATTACGCATTTGCGTTTCCAAAACATGTTACTTTAATTACCGTCATCCACTAAAAGCTATCTGTCATAATAAGGATAAAATACTATGCTGCAAAAATGTGAACAGAAAACAGCTTTTCTTCCATTATTGTATAAAGTTATCCAGCGGTACAATGAAATCTTTCTCCTCTGCGTGTGTATTTTGTTTTGCATGTTGCAGTGTACAAGCTACTGCTCAGGCATACTAAGGTTTTCCAACCGCACACTTACTGAAGAACATTCAGTGTTTGACCTGTAGCAGAATGAACAATGTGATACGATGCTAAAAATATTTTGCTGTGGATTTGTCAACCTTCTTGCAATCCAGACACAAGGACCTGGTCATATAAGCCTACAGAATGAAGATGGCATTTCCACTTGGTAGAAATAGGTTTGTCCTTATGTAAGCCCTTTATCAGACGTGTCGCTATTTTAATTTCATCTTAGAGTGCATCTTCAACTTGCTTCGCCATGGCAAACAATAACACTCCATAACAACAGAAAATATTTCAGTATTTGAAGATACATCTTAGATTACAAGGACTGTTGACATGTATGGATACTTCTCAAAACCAATAAGAAGAATACATTCCATTTTTATGTTAGACCTTCCTCTCTTCACTCTGTATTTTACTTAACTTTTAGCTATTTAGTGCCAAATGGTGGTTAGTGTCTGCTATTCTGGAATATGCAATGTGTAGTATATTTGTACCATGGCAATTACCTTTAAAAAGGAAAAATAGGAAGATATTTTACTAGTTATTCTATTGTTATTTGCATATGAAATTCACTTTCCATTGGCAGGCGTTTTAACATCTGCTGGCCTTGGTTACTTTGGAGACCAAGCCACAGTTTCAAGCTGATGTAATTGGATCTAAGCAGACAGTGAAGCCCCACGCTGACTGAAGCTCGAAGGTTCTAGCAGATGCAGTATAAGCCTCCTTTAGTTTGTTTCAAAATAGCATTTTTTGACCTTGACAGTTGAAAAGGAGAATGAGGAGATGAAATACCTGGTACTTTGTATGTATGTCATTCCAAGTTTGTTAGCATGCATTAGCAGCAAACACCCAGGACATGCGTCTTATTCAGCTGATGGGGCAGGGGGGTTACTGGCTGCTACCAATTGCCTAGGTGACACTGGCTTTTTGAGTATGGTAACATAAGTCAGGATGACCAGAAAAGTCTCCATAACCACTTTCATGGATTACAGCTTAGCCTTGAACAAGTCTTCCATAGTGCACATGTCTTCTCTCATACAACGTACATTCCTTAACCCAATAATTACCCATGTAGGCTTAGTTGTCCATTATTTTATTATTTTATTTATCATTGTTTTCTAAAATATATCATAGTTTACATTACTTTAAAGCATTTATTTCTGTAACTCAACGAGAGAACTTTGGATTGACTTCCACAGCCAGACACAGATTATGCCAGACACTGAACTCCAAATGAAATGAATACCATTTATTCATCTTCTGTAACACCTTATTCAGTAGAGGGTCATGGTGAGCCCAAGAAAATGCAGTAGGTTACATTCATACTGTAATATCATACATTCATATTATAATATTGTATCATGCATCTTTATTGATTGACATCAATACACTTTACAGTGTCAAAGGTTGTTTAATTGTCAGGTGAGTTTTTGCCATTCTCTTGATTTTCACACATTTGCGATGGCATAATTATTACGTAGTGTTACTTTAAAACCTTATCACAGTGTAACTTTTTAAATGTCATACATCATATAAATACAAGGATATAAAATGACCCAATTAAAATGGTAGCATTCCCAGAAGGGAATAGGAGATATTCATGGTACCCACAAATGCCTTTTAATATTTACACAACTAAGTAAAGGGTAACTACGTTGCCAGACAACATCTTGTGAATCTTGGAAACCGGCTGTTTAAACAGCCTAAGGGTCAACATTGCCTCCGCTCAATTTTTAAGTTACATTTCGTATAATTTGAAATTAATTTTTGTCGCAAAATCAAATTGCTTTGCTTTTTCAAACTTACCTGCTACTTTCACCATAGACTGGAGAATCGGAATTAAACAGCAATTACAATATTATACTAAAATGACATGTAAGGACACTGACCACACATCCTGACATACAAAAGGCTGTCATGCATGATCATGTACAGTCCTAGGACAGGGAAATGTGCTTTATCCTTCATATATAGGTATTTAACTTTGTTTGACATGTAATGCCTAGTAATCCTGTAAGATGATTTTATGGGTCAGTGTGGCAAAACAAAATACGGTATACTGTGCAGTTTAAATGATTATGTATACACAAATAAATCAGGATAATTTCCTTTAAATGGCTTTTAGGAAGTGTGTAAAATATTAAAGAATAAGCATAGTGGAGGTGTGCTAAGAATTTCTCGAATTATTAAACTTAATAATCCAATACATATGTAAAAAAAAAAACACAGACCTTGATTTCATACTAATTTGTACTGTTTCTGTATTGTTTTCAATTTTCAATGTACTTGAACAATTAAGCAACACCAGGTATTTTAACAATTAAGCAAATTAATTTAAAGTCTTGGAATGTGATATACACATAACCTTCAGCAATAGAATTTTACTTGTAAATGAAATTCTAAAATAATTTTATATTTTTTAGCCAGAGGAAAAAGATGCATTGTTAATTTTGAAAGCATCGTCATTTGTATCTTTATGATTAAATATCAGCTTAGCCTCTATGCACGCTGTATTTTCTATTCAACACATATGCATACAACAACTTTATTCGTATACTTAGACTCTACTGAGTATACAATGAGTATCATTAAATATAGACATAGAAACATATTTCTAATTAAAAAATAATGAACGTCATTATTATTTAAACAGATCAATTTCTCATTGATCCTCTCATGTATTCAATTTTAATATTGCTGTTGACAAATGGTATTGTTCAAATACGTATAGCTATCAAAATTACCTTTATAGAAGATTAAATGGGTGTCACTTACCCTCATGATAGCTATGCAAACATGTAACCAAAATGACTCTAAATAATCTAAATTTATAGTTTTTCCGCAGTGCTCTCCGAGGTAAGTCGTATGATAATAATTTCATAAGTAATTCAGTCCCGGGACTAAGCAATGCATTTCAGTTATTAAAAAAATATCTGTTAAATATATTTATTTATTTATGCTAATAACTGGGGAGAATACACACAAGAGAAGCACAGCGAACATTTCCCCCTGTCGTACTGCCATCACAGCAAACGCAAATACAACTTCGGAGGAAATTTCCACAAGTCTCAGAAGTGGGGTGGTCCTGAACAAACAGCTCCCGTGAATGTCATCTTACGAGACCGAATTCGGAACGCAGCTTTGGACTGACACCGGATTTTCCAGAAGAAGTTGCGAACGGTTAGCAATGCCGACGACTTATCGATCCTCAAATCTAACATTCCTGACTAAAGTGTGGCCACTGAACTAGATCATGAAGAGGCACAACGTGAGGACACTCGCCCTGATAATCTGCACGATAGTCTATTTGCTTTTTGGGGCTGCGATCTTCGATGCACTGGAATCTCAACTGGAAACCACGCAGAGCACGAAGCTGCAGCAGAGGAAACGGGAGTTGATGACGAAGTATAATTTAACTGAAGATAATTTTGACGAGCTTGAATGGGTGCTTTTACAGCTGGAGCCTCATAAAGCGGGACTCCAGTGGAAATTCGCGGGATCATTTTATTTTGCGATCACAGTGATCACAACAATAGGTAAGAAAAGATACATATTAACATGAATAACTATCAGTGCCTTAATGTGAATTTGAATAGCATCCAATATATATGATTAATACTGTCTAAGTAAAACTGTGGATTTGATCATCGCAAACTAAAACGCAAAATCGTCCAGTTGTTTGGTTAGCGATGTCTCTGTGGGATCATCTAATCTTCAATCTGTGGAGTGGTAAAATCTGGAAGGGGAAAAAGTACAAAAATCACCATATAAGAAATGTCTTCATATATAGGCCTATTTGGAAATGTACTGTAAACGTAGCAGGCTACCTGCACTTTTAGTGTTTTGTGTACACGTGGAAAAAAAAACTCCCTAACAGCTGTGCAATGGTGCCATATTTTCCGGACCATTAGTTCAGATTATCATTTCTAGGAAATACTGGCATGCCATCCAGGGTGCACCCCAGCCGTGTGCCCTATGCCGCCTGGGATTGGCTGTACCCCTCCCTGCAACCCAGAGCCTGCAGTTAGAAGATGGATGGACGGATTTCTAGGAACTGGAGCACACAAAACTCTTGCATAATGGGAAACATTATGCAAACTTAAATAAATCCCCCCCCCCAAAAAAAAAAAAATATAATAAATAAAAAAATCAAGTCACAGAAATAAAAAAAATGGAAAAAAATACAAACACAGCAAATTTGAGTGAAAGGTTTTAAATAAAGAAAACTTGCAGGAAGACATGGTATCTCAGTGGGTAGCAATGTTGACTTCAGAAATGGAGATTCAGATTCCACCTCTGTTCTGCATCCATAGAGTTTGCATGCATCCTTCAAGTACTCCACTTCCTTATGCTGTCCAGAGTGGGCTCTGTGACTGGTCTCCCATCCAGGATGTACCCCACCTTGTGCTGTGTTGCTGTCTTTGATAGGCTCCAGGCCCTACAAGCTATGTTTGGTTGGTAGATGGAAATAAGACTTGGAAACACGCATAATGTCTATATCAAAATGTGCTTACTCTCTAGGTTATGGACACGCAGCTCCCAGCACAGATGGAGGAAAGGTGTTCTGCATGTTCTATGCCGTGCTGGGGATTCCCCTCACCCTGGTCATGTTCCAGAGTCTGGGTGAGCGCATCAACACATTCGTCAGGTACTTGCTCTACCGAATCAAGAAGCTCCTCAGAATGCATAAGACCGAGGTCTCCATGGCCAACATGGTTTCCATTGGCTTCCTCTCCTGCGTCAGCATCCTGGGTATCGGTGCAGCGGCTTTCTCTCACTACGAAGACTGGAGCTTCTTTCAGGCGTATTACTATTGTTTCATTACTCTTACCACGATCGGCTTCGGGGACTACGTGGCTCTGCAGAAAGACCAGGCGCTGCAGAACAACCCGAAATATGTGGCCTTCAGCTTCTTCTACATCCTGATAGGCTTGACGGTCATCGGAGCATTCCTTAACCTGGTGGTGCTACGCTTCATGACTCTGAACACTGAGGACGAGAGGCAGGATGCTGAGTGCCAGGCTTTGCTGTCTCAGAACATGCAGGGACACAAAACCTGTGCTAGGGTCAACAGCGCCACCTCTGGCCTGGAGGGCTCTGTGCGGAGAGGCCTGTTCTGCGTCTATCCCGAGATGCTTCACTTTCAGTCCATGTGCACCTGCCTTTGTTACAAGGGCCAGGAGAAGGTGCCCTACTGCATCCCCATGATCTTCCCCCGGGACTGGTCATCCTCAAACGTCGCTGTGGAACAAGAAGAGGACTTGTCAGGGCACGTCCCAAATCCTTGCACTAATATGCACATGTGCAGTTGCAGTGTGCAACACCGATCTATGATTAGCGGTACCCCTACTGTCTCATATCATCATACAGTGAATAGGGTGCTTTTGAAAAGGCGCAGGTCGATTTAGCGTTAACAGCATTCCTCTTTAGTTCTCACACAAGACTGAAGATATATATTAAGCTTTGGGTTGAGGACAGATATTACTTGGTCATTATTATTATTCAACAGGGAGGTATCACTGTTCTTATAATCAATGTAATTAACTTTACTAATGAGGTAATAGAACAATCTTAAACACACACATTCAGTTATGATTCAGTTTGAATCAGACGTGCTTACAGGGAAATGAAACAGTTACATGTTTTGACTGAAACTATATATCTATTGCAAAGGCACTATGATTTACAGAAAAACAACACAAAGGATATACCAGGGCTGGACAGGGATTAAAAATCCCAGAATAAGTCTTGCTGACCCACAAACCAATCCTCCTACCAGGAAAATGTCCAGTGTTCCATATACGTAGAATAATGTAGGTACCTTCACCTTGCAAATTGGTTATTTACAATTCTAAAATTCATCTCGATGGCCACCGAGCCTTGTACTGATAGAAAACTTTGTAAGTCTCTGTCTTGTTTCCTCAGTTTTTGGGAAGCAGGTCACTGTGACAACAGCTAGACCTACTCATGATACTGCCTGTGAAATAAGAACTGGAGAGAGCACCACAGTATCATTTTTCCAGCATCAATGTGCATTGATTTAAGGGAGGCAACAATTAAATAAGAGATTTTATTGCTGCTTTCAAAGTTGCAAAGATTGTGATCTTCCAGGACCAATATGTTATAACTTCGGTGAAACAATACAGTATTTAACATTGAATTTGACTTATAATTGCTTTGATGACACTGACTTTCAAATAAAAATGTATAGTACTTTTAGTTACAATTTTAAAAATGTTGCTTACTGTGCAAGTGCAAGCACTTGGCCTATAGACAAGTATACAACAATATAAATATTAAACTTAAGTTTTTCTTGACACCCCGATCGTTCGAGCCTCCCGTGTGCCACGCCTCCTCATCTTCACCATGTGGAATCCCCGTGTTATTAGCTGTTTTGAGTCATGTTGATTGTTGCTGTGTATTTAAGTCCGCGTTAAAGTATGTTTCCCCAGTCCTGTCATTAACGTCAGTCCTGCGTGTTCCTCCCAAATACCTCCATCGACTCCTGCGTCCCCGTGATCACGGAAACACCCTACATATAGTCCTTTGCCTGACACCTTAAACTTTTGTCTGACTTCAAACTTTTCTGTGTTTGCTTTAGGCCTACCTATAATATTATTGGGAGAAACAGGTGCTGGAACTCCCCTCGTTATTCAGTACTGGGTGCTGGTACTTCCTTTGTTATTTAGTACCAGCAGATACTGAGATGCCAGTAGGCCTACTCCATAGAAAAAAAAAGAGGTGCTGGTATTACCATTTATAGAAATAAGTGATAGGCAAGACTAACCAGTGGAAAAAAAACGGTTGACACGGCACTCCTATCTTGCAAGAGATGCAACTCTTTCCAGTTAAATACTAGCCGAAATTAAATAATATTACATGAAAGGGAATAAATATGCAATCCCGTCTAGCTGCCTTGGGCGCAGCTTCGGGAACGTTTCTAAGACCGCTGTTTCCAGCCCGAATAAATACGGTGATACACTCAGGGTATAAATACGGCCGAGGTTGTAGTTTAAGGTTTATCAAAGTTCACATTTTCAGTCACTGAATTGCAGACATGGGTCTCCGAGACGCTGCCATGACCATGTTCGCTGCGCATCGGAAAGTCGTGCTGTGCACAGTGGGGATCGGGCTGGTTTCAGCCGCGTTGTGCGTCGGCTTCAGGTATTTTCGAAGACCGAAGAAAGTTAGGCGAGTAGGACTCGTCTCGCAGATTAACGTGTTTCCTCTGAAATCCGGCAAAGGACTTTCTGTGACTACTGCACAGTGCCTAGAAATGGGCCTGAAGTATGGCGAACTTAAAGACCGGTGAGTATTTAAGATTATTTTTGTTTTCAGTATTAATCACGTATATTCAAGGCAAGGTAAAGCAAGACAATTTTATTTATATAGCACGCAAGGCAATGTGCTTTACAAAGGCAGAGGAATACAGTTACAGACATTAAAATCACATTTAAGACAAAAAAAAAAGTTTATGAAGTTTATAAAATTAATGACATTTAATAATTTTGATGCTTCCGAAATATATCCATCCAGAAACATTAATATGGTGCGTGCGACAGTAATGCATTATAAACATGCACGTGTTTAATGCACGTAATATAACCGAAACAGATGGCGCAGATCTTGTAGTGCTTTTACTGTGCGGATATTGCATTTGGTCCGGCGATGACAATTCTAACCCGGCTAAAATGAAATTACTGAAACGACTGGGAGACGCTGGCTTGATTTAATCAACATAACTCAATTATGGTTTTCAACAACAGGTTGTTTAGAAACAAAGTTAATAAAGGTATGGGGGGGGGGGGTATTCCAGTGAGTAAATCCGAATTAGTAGTTTACACCTGAAACAATTTCCGTTCCAGAAACCGAGAATAGAATGTAGTTCAAACAGCTACCGTGGCAACTAATGCTCTGAACCGAATTTACTTAAAATCAGGATTACCTGACCGAAACTTGGTGCTTGCAGGCCGCGGCTGCCGCTGCTTCAGCACCGCTCGGTAGTTTGATTTGGCGTGCTCAGTTCTCTGGTTGAAATGGTTCGCTGGGAGAGATGGTTGAAATGGGATGTGTCCGAATTCAGGGACTGCATCCTTGGCTATGTAGAGGAATGCAGTCTACGACGCCTTTCGAAGATTTCGATCGTCCTTCGAAGATTCGCGCAATGAATCTTGGGATCTCGGCTAAAGAATATCGCATTTCTAGGCTGCGTCTGAAGGAGCCTTTGACACGGGACAGACTTGTCACGCTGCTGTGACACGTACATTCGCTCTTCGGATGCAGCATATAAAGGGTACACAGACCGCGTCCTTCGAAGGGTGCAACCCCTGAATTCGGATACAGCTACGTAAATGGCAAGTTTTCTTCAGTTAGGTATTCTGTCATTCCCCGGTGAATGTCTGCGCGGTTTATTCAAGAATCCCCCCCGCCCCGCTACCAAAAAAGTTTATCTTATTTATTTAGACTCCTTTTGTGAGCCTCACGTTTCAAACAAAACGCACGGTGGGTTTGCACTCATATCTTTACAGACTTTTTTGAATTGCTGTATTTTTTTCTGCTGTACTTATTGAAGGTGTATGTAATAGAGACGATGCCGAACACGCTGACATGGCAACGGAAAATATATGCTTAGCACTCAAAAGGCTATTTTGAGGTCCAGTGTCTGCCTGGATTTACTGTCACCCCAGAGTGCCCTTATTGTGGCATGTGTGGTACTGCGCAATATTGCCACAATCAGGTGAGACTCAAAAAGTAAGACTTGCAGGGTCATTGTCAACACATCCATGCGCAAGTTTAGAGGTGCATTGAAATGGTTTTCATATTGGTGTCCTGGATTTTGACATTCATTTAGGTCTTACTTTGACACGAACCTAGTTCTGAATCTCTGCCAGATGTTTTTTTGTCTGTATTTGAACTATTTGGGCTCATAGGTGAGGGCTTGATCCTTGTGGTGAAATTTAATCATTGTAGAAGATGAGCATGTTCACGTTTACGCTCTGCTTTATCTGTATAGGCACTGGCTCATCGTCACGGACGACGGCCATCAGGTGACAGCGCGTCAAGAGCCTCGTCTTGTGCTGCTCTCCTTGACCTGTCAGGATGGTCGTCTGTGCCTGAATGCCCCTGGCATGGAGCAACTGAACATTCCCCTTTCTCAACCTCAAAACCAGGTCATAAACTGCAGGTTGGTGTGTCTTTTCGTTGGACCCCACTTTACAAGGACTTTGTTGTTTTCTAGTCTAGAGTTCCCTGTATAGACAGAAGTTGCTACATTATATTGAAATAGGACATTCTATGAAATACCCTGCAATTGTATGGTACTGAGGTACACTATGCATGCACCGGGACCCTAAGTGTTTTAGGTTGCTGCCAGTTGCTGTATGAATCACATCCATTTTGGGGTGGTTGGATGCCATTGAGACATCAGTGTTGGGCAGGTTACTCACTAGTCAAGTTACAGACTGAGGTGGAAAGTTGAGGTCCAGAAAGTACAAAGTGATACCAAGGGTTTGTTTCAACCAACCCTGCTGAGCATACAGTCACAGAGTACTCAACTGGTTGGTTGAAACAAAACATTAGCCTGGATTTGTACGTTCTGGACCTGAATGTTACACCTATCTGTAAAGGATTACTCTTCGGAGTAACTTCCCCTGTAAGGCATTCAGATGTTTTGTGTCACCGGTCTCGTGCCTCATCAGAGTGTGGAGCAGTGACATTCAGGGTAGAGACTGCGGGGAACCTGCGTCTCTCTGGATCACTCGCTACCTGTCTGGTGACAAGACCTTCCGTATGGTGCAGTTCGAGCCCCAGATGAAGGGTCGCCGCCCTGTGGAAAAATTCCCTTTTTTCTTTAAGCACGAAAAGGTAACCCGTTTTATGTGACTTTTATTATTTCTTCTGCATTTCTTTCGAAATTTGTTTTTTTCTGTTGACTTCTTGAAGACGAATCCCATTTCTCTCCCGAAAAGGTTTTTTTTTATCTTTAGACCTTCTACTCCTGATTTTTTTCGATCAGCTCTCATTACAAGTTCATCCTTATCTCAGGAAGGTGGTTGGTTGTTTAATACGTGCCTCCCCCACTCTGAACCAATCAATTGCTGAGAGTGGTGTTAACCTTTGCCTCCTCCAGGTGGCGTATCCTGACACTGCTGCAATCCTGTTAATGACCGAAAGCTCAGTGACGGACCTGAACACCCGCTTAATGGACAAAGTCACTACAGCCTGGTTCCGACCCAGTATTGTGGTGACAGACTGTGACGCCTACGCTGAGGTGTGGACATAAACTGTGTACCAAAAAGATTTCCAAAGCTGAAGGAATGGTTTAAAAAAAAGTCGCCACTTTGTCATTTCACACACACTTCTATGGAGCGGTGTATAGCCAGGAAAAGAAACGGTTACGAAATAAACATTGAACAACAAATACTGGAGAGGGGGAATGAAGAATAATTAAATTAAAAAAAAACAATTAAAATCAAATTAGAATAAAAAAACAGTACACAGCAGTAGACAAGAATAACAGTGATGCACTGCAAATAATACAAGTGAACAGTACAGGTAAACACTGTGCAAACAACAGAAATGGTGCAATTGTGCGTTTATCAGCCCTGTACGAAGTGGGTCTCTGTGCATTGTATGTCATGACACAGTTCAAGACTATCTGCCATTTCTGCCACAGTTGCCCTTTTAGTTTATACCAAACAGGATAGTCTTCATTGATATCCGCCTTGACGAGCCTTTGCTTCCTGACACCCTATTGGCTGATTGTTGATTTCCCTCCTCAGACCACTCTCAGTAGGTGCTCACCACGGCTGACCCTGAGCACCCCAGAAGTCTTGCAGTTTCTGAGATGCTCTGACCCAGTCGTCTGGCCTAAATGATTTGGCCATTTTTCCCCCTGGCCCTTTGGTCTGCATTTAACATGTCGACTCTGAGTTCCAAATGTTGGCTCACTGTCTAATATATCCTTGACACACGCCATTTTTACAAGATATTTAACGTTATTTGCTTCACTTATGTAACCTTTTTTTACCGCTAAGATCATGGTGCTAGGTTAAGTGGTTGGCCCTAGCTATGTGTAGCTACATGTAGCTACATGGTTTTGTGTTTTCAGACAATATGTCAAGACTGTTTCTGTTTGTTTTTTGAGGATTCCTGGGATGAGCTGCAGATCGGGAGAGTGAGACTACGTCGTGCCATGGCTTGTTCAAGGTAATATGAAAAGTAAAGGCATTGTTTTTTTATAGGGTCATTTTCACCCTTAAACATTCAGCGCGGTACATTGTGTTACGAGCCCCAGTCTAAGGTTGGGGCATAACAGAGTGAAAGGGCAAGGGGATGTGGAGTAAAGGAAGAACCAGGGTGTGATGGACAAGGGACAAGGGAACGTGGTCAAAGGGGTATTTTTTTTTTCCATATTTTTCTGTTTTTGACACGCCACGGACAGAGAACAAATAAACCCAGTGCAAAAAGACTCTGTTTTGCTGACAGTCACTCCAATCAAGAAAACCCAGCTTCTGAATGCAACCCAAAGCTAAACTTACCTAAGTGCAAAGAAAACAAAAACAAAATGACAAATTCTCTACCTAACACCCTATCCAAACAACAGCATACAACATACGTCCACAAAACGAAATGGCAGTCACTCCCTACGCACCCAACACACACAGAACATACACATAGATCAAAGTGACAAAAGTCAGAGGGGTGCGCAAAGACCTTAACCAAAAACCGAAACCAAATAGCAAATAAACCAAAGCAAAAGTCCAGACAAAACGAAAATCAGAAATCCAATAAACCAAACAAATCATACAGTGATATCAATCAAAGAAAAGCAAACCAACAACATTAATCAATTAGCAGAGCTCTCGAGACGTCTTGCTTGCGGCTTTTCACTTCTGGGAGAAGGAAGTGACGTATGGTGCATACGGCAATTCAGGGCGGGGTCTGAACGAGGAGGCGGAGCGAACGATGAATAGAGTGGAGAGTTGAGAAGATGAGCTCTGTGGGCGGAGCTGAATCTAAACATGAACTAACAGCGGCATGTAACAATTGGCTTTGGCATGTGACATTTGACACCATGTGTCTCCAGAGTTGTTGATTCCAGCTCTGCACATTCTCATTATGTTCTAGTTTGCTTCCTCCCACACTGTAAAGGCATGCAGTTCAGCTAATTGGTGAGGTTCAAATCTACCAAGGATTTTCCACCATCCATCCATCTTATAACTGCTTATCCGCTACAGGGTCGGGGGGGGGGGGGGGGGTGAGGCCTGTCCCAGGCAGCACAGGGCATGGGGATGGGGAACAGCTTGGATGGGATGCCAGTTTTTGACAGGGTACTCAAATGTACACATTCACCCATTATGAACAAGTTCAAGACACTAATTTACTTAACTGTGTTACCTTGGATTGTGTGAGGGAAGCAGACAACCCAAAGCTGACCCTTGCAATACAAGGAGAACATATAAGTTCCACAACCACAGAATAGGTCTGAGATTCAAACCCCTAACCCTTGGGGGGTTTAGGCAACAGTGATTACCTCCAAGCTAACATACTGCCCCCACTGCTCTTCACTGTTGTTTAAGCCCAAAAGCATTTTACAGTAACAGTATAGACTTGACGCTTAGCAAGGCACTGCTATATGTCATTTTTGGAAATTTGTTAGTTAACCTTTACTTAAACATAAATTACTAATGTACTAGTGATGTAATACAATTATCCCTAGGTGCCTTTTAACGACCGTGAATCCTGATACCGGAGACATTTCCCGTAAAGACCCACTGGAAACTCTTAAAAGGTAAGAAAAATCCACTTCAGAGTGAATTTTAGGCAGTGTAGCCTTTGGCTGGACTGGATAAGATAACAGAGGAATGGATGGATTCACTGTATTAAGAATGTAGTCATGTAGTGTGTCTCCGTAGTTCAATAAAATGTCACGATATACCCCTGTTTATTGCCTGAACATTTACATTTGTATGTTTTATTAGATTAGATCATATAATCATTAATAATCATAAAGTAAATCAGAATGTACTGGTATAATAGTAGAACTTGGTTTCCTCTTTTCACTCTAGTGATGTTTGATTTTCAAGTTATTCTTTTATGTAACTTACATATAAAAGTTACCTACTGTATGTAACAGATGTAAATTCTAGAAAAAGACTTGATAATGTCGCCAAGAATAGTAAGGGGATAGATACACAATTTACATGTCATTTCGACAGTCCTTTGTTGCTGTATAGTATGTTTTCAGTGAGTGATATGGAGGTTCCTGCTAATTAAACTACCTTGTAAAATCAAAGAGACTGACAAAGTGTCCGAAAAAAGAATTTTGAAATGAAAACGATCCCGTCTCTGTAGTTTGCAGGTTAACTGTCTCCATGTTGTATTGATAATCTCTTACTGATGCTCTTTTCCTGTGCTGTAAAATTTCTTCATAGCTATCGCATGTGTGACGCATCTGAGAAGCACATTTACGGAAGCTCACCACTGTTCGGGCAATACTACAGTGTTCTTAAAAGTGGAGTCCTTCAAGTTGGAGATGCTGTGTACACAATTACTAACTGAATCAATGGAGTTTTTGTAAGTCGCTTTAGAGAGAAAATGGAAACAAAAAATATTGACACTGTATAAACATAAATATATAAATCATAATACTCAATTATTTGCTTAATTACTCATGACTTCCATATACCGCCAATGATCTGTTCTGTTCTGATCTATAAAATAACGTTGTATTTTTTATGCAGTGATAAATACATAAAATACATTAATGTTACTTTGGTTGTTGTACACTAGTGGTAAAATTAAAGACTGGGGTAGTGTAATCTGTTATATGAGGTGTTATGGCAAATGGAAGTCCATTCTTCTATAACTGAAGGAATTCAAGAAATATATCATTAATTCAGTTGAGAAATATGCGTTTTATATGGTATATTCATAAGGTTTCATCTCATTTCATGAATTCTATTATGCAATTGCATATCATTTTAATTCCAAGCAAAAGCACACAGAAAGTTGCCTGTGCAAAATATACTTGAGGTTTTTTGATCAGTGAATACATTACCATAATACAGATGAGATCCAGAAAAACTTACACCACTAATAATCAATGCTGAAACCTGAACGCAGTCTAAAATTAATTTGGAATATCTGTATTCCGTAATAAGTAGGCAAATAATCGTCTGTGATTTTAGATCTTTTCTATCCGATGCAATTCTATAAAAGATGTATCATCATACTTGGACATGAAACCAGTGACAGGATTTTCTTTATGGTTAACCAAGAAAATCTGGTCACAATTTAATAAATGCTCTAAAATGATTCATCACTTGTCCGACTGTATATCCAATACAGGGTCACGGTTCTAAAACAATAGCTATCGGCCTACTAATAGGCTAAATATTAACGAAACCCTACGGTAAACGCAGCTATACTCCTAGTAGTAATGGGTTTGTGTTTAATAATGATAAGAAGGATAATGATGTAGGCCTAATTGTATTTTCTTGCAGTAACTTCCGTTAAGTGCGCAAAGTTCATCAAACACAGCTGAGCGCATTTCATTTTTCTTTTAGCGAAATATTCAGCGTTCTGATACAACCTGTTATTTACTGAAGTTCGAATTTTCGGCTTGTCATTCATTTAAGCTGTTAGTAAAAACTAATTTCCTCTTTTAAAAGTTTTTTTTCTTTTTTAAGCATGAAGACAGACGCGTCAATGCGCAACTTTCAGGGTGAGACATTAAAAAAGGGAAGTTATAGCAGTTTTGATACAGGCTGCACTTTGTTCATACTATATAAAGGCTGCGTTCCTGCTGCACAGTAACGCGAGCAGTCATATCCGCCTAGTTACATTTGGCATCCATCAAAAACAGGATGACCTACAATTAATAGGAAGAGTAGTTGTTCGATGGGAATATTTCACACATCTTGAGAAGCAAATGAGGAAAATACATGTGTTCTGATTGAAAGCAATACTTAGCTGTTATAGGAGTTTATTAAAGAGAGTTGGTCAACTGTATGACTTTTCAGCTAGCTTGCATTTTTAAATGTTATATAGGTATCTAGTTATTTAGCCTGCGTTTTTATACAAATGGGTTTCGCAGCACACGTGGATTAGGGGAACTGGCTTATTACATATTTTTTTAATTCCTGAAACAATTTTCCTTCGCTTATTTAAAATTCAGCCACTGGAAATATTCATACGGACACGAACTGTATGAATTTATCCTCGGAGCCTAACCAATCATCTGTAGAAACGCAACTTCTGCTTAAGAGTACTTGGACCATGCAGCTGCTGAAGTTTTCGAGCTGTGTAAAGACTTCTCATCTTTAAGGAGAGGAAACAGCCGTTTTCACCAACACTTTAAATATGAAAGTATAAGTGCATATCGTATTTAATACCGAGTATATGTACGCTAGAATGATGTATGGACATACAGCGGAGACGAATAATTTTTATTCGTTCGATTTGAATTTTTTGTCTTCGAGCTACTCCAGTAAATTGTTTTTCGACTCAAGAAAAAAATGCCAGCTTTCCTTCGCCGATAGCCCCCTTATCCCTGGATATTCTGCAGGTACGGCACTTTTCGCATGTCGTGGTCCGCTTCAACCTTCGGGATCTCAGCTTCGCTGCGCTGCGGCGAATACGGAGCCTTTAAATGGCTGCAGGACTTGGGCAAACCAGGCGTACCTAAATTACAGGTACGGGATGGAGCGTGACCCGACACCCTCTCAGCCATCTGTTGCACAGTCCGGAAGCCTTAAGTTTGGGATTGATCGGATACTGTCCACCGATTTTGACATAAAGGCAAAAGAAGCCTCCACTTTCAGGGGTAAGACGTCAGCCAAGTCCGATTCAGTCTTCCTTCTATATTATACATCTTATGCGTATGACTTGGCAAATATTATACAGTATTTTATCATGTAGTTGGTTAAATATATTGCCCATATTAGTTTAATTTACTGTGCGTCAACTACAACCTAATTTAAAAGTTAAATATGGCTTCTGGATAAACATGCGTTAAATCCGTAGATCAAGCATCTTAATTTGGTACGCGTCGTTTTTTTCCGATTTATTACCCTTATATGGTGATTTCTGTTATCTTTATGCTTCTGGGACACGAAATGGATAATTTAAGTGACTAATTATCCTTGGTCCCACCTGTTCCCCAGATTTCCGTGTGTATACTGCATTTATTTCTCGCTTTCTTCTGATCCTGCAACAGATCTCGTATCCACTGTTAGCAGAGAAGGTTTTTCGGGACTCAGTTGTTACGTGCATTCTGCGACAGACCGATACTACTCTTCTTTAGATACACGTAACGCTTCTTCTGCGCCGCGTTCAGATGGCGACGCGGCAAGAGAAATATCGCAGCATCAGATACAAGAAGGCTATCCAGGTAGAAGATCTTAATCAGACACTCGGACGTTATTCATTAATTCAACGGAACCTTTATAAATGTGAAACCGGCGTGCAATAAGGACATTTGTTCTTCCTGCGCAGGTCCGTACGCAGTCCTCGCAAAGGATGCGGCGCCTCAGACGAATAGAAGAAAAAGGTCGTGGTCGAGGGCAGTGTTTTCCAATCTGCAGAGAATGGGACTGGAGAAACGATTCGAGGTCCAAAAGTATGTTACTAAACCAGACAGAAAACAACTCGCAGCGATGTTAGGTTTAACGGATGCCCAGGTACGCTCAGAAGGCAAACGCCAATTTATTCTAAGAAAACAGCTATATTCCTATACATAGGCCTACGAAACTGATTTCTGGGAAATTGCTATTTCCACTACAGAGCCCGAGAAAATGTAGACTATAATGTAAGTCTATTAACATACGTATTAACTAATGTTTTAATAGAAATGCCAATATGTATACTAGCAAAATAGGCCATATTTTCTTATGCAATTATTCATAAAGTCTTTGTCCATCAGTAAATTTTAACGTTTATGCTACTACACGAAAAGGTATAAATACGTGATTCATATTAGATGTGTCTGTTTGTTGTATAATGGTGTAAAAACACAGATTACCCTGAATTGAAACTATATAGTGATACAAACCTATGTTCTACGGCTGACCATTTAATCTCCTCCAGGTTAAAGTATGGTTCCAGAATAGGAGGATGAAATGGCGACACTCGAAGGAAACCCAGACGCAGAAAAACAAAGCACAGCAGACTAATTGCTTGATAGCTGGCAGCCTGGAAGCCGTTCAGAAGGATCACGAATCCGGTTGTGAGAGTGAAGGGACCGAATCTGAATTCGATGATGGTCGGCAAGGGTGAGGGCGACGCTTCAGCCAACAATTTAATGTCAGGAGCTGATCTGAGTGACGATGAACATAGGGGAACCGCATTGCTGTTTTTCTCCGGCATTTTAAAGAAAACATTTGGATTAAGCATTCTAATTTTGTAATTTGTGAATGGGACAGCATTAACATTCATATACCAAACACCCGAACTATTGAAAGAGTCTCACTAAGTACAACCGACTTGCCAAGCTTTGCTTTTCTAACAACTTCTGTAGCTTATTCACCTTTCAACAGCCTAATTGTAATGATACCGTTTTTGGATTTTTATTTATAACCTTAGATAATAGTTTGGCAGGCATTATCATTTGTAGGCTATACTATAGTTTGATTTGTGTAATGTATTATACAGTATGTCTTCGTTGCATTTTTATACCCAGAAACGTGTAAAAAAAATTGTCATCATCCAATTTGTATTCATCAAAGACAGCCACTTTTAACATGAAAATAGTTCTACTGTTGTCATGGGTAACTTTTCATCTGTACTGATAGGATCTTCCTAAAATGCTTAACATGAAAAAGCATAATGTGCCTTAATGTCCCGAAACAACAGTTTAGGAAAGACAAATTTCTCTCACACTTCAGTGGTCATAAACACGGTTTATTGCCATATGCATGAAACTATGATCCAAAGGAAAAAAATAATAAAATTAGCAAATGGATGTAGACAGCCTAAAACAGTCAAAAACAAACACCTCAAGGAGATAAGAGGGTATATATAGGCTTAGGGCCTGTATAAAGAATGATTTTCATACCCCTAACTAGTTTTTCTGGAGACACAATTTATTTAAAATATGGTAGTCCTATATAAGGCACAACACAAAACATTAGAGAATAATACAAAGTTGAATAGTTTCCCCCCCCCATAAAAAACACTTAATGGAAAATGTAAGGCTTTAGTAAAATAAATTTGACAGTCTGCTTTGAGACATTCGTTTGAGAGGATTTTTTATTATTTTTTTTAAGTTGCCGTTTAGCTACATATGCCATGTTATATCTTTTCCTTATAAAGGGCTTGTATACGTGGTTGAATATTACAATTTATATCTCATTTTATAATAAATATCTTTGTTTTAAGATGTTGTTTTGATTAATTAAACCACGTTAAGGTTTCCCTGTGCCGCTTTGCTATACTTCTACGTATTTTGGTGAAATTTCTTTATCGGTTGTAATGAAATAAACATAAAATCAATGCTGAGAAGTTATGGCAGTAAAATACGCACCATTGCCAAATACATGCTATAGAACACACATGAATTGTAACCCTTCACTGTAAGCTTGATATGGTGGTATTACACAGTCTTTATGCTTTATGTCGATTGACAGGTGCACGAACGCCGATTTATCAGTTCTATGTAGGCTATTTGATATAAATCTATAATGCAACGGAATAACGATAACCCACATCGTGAAATGTAGATATCTCGAGGCAAAGGTCACAGAAATAGGCAGATTGATTTATACCCATATAAAGAAATCAAGATGAATAAAATTCACTATAACGTTATTTCGCCCTGGCATCTCCTCACTTCTCAGCATATATCTCATATAGCTACTTTGTGTGTGTGTGTGTGTGTGTGTGTGTGTGTGTGTGTGTAAACCATGGGCGTCACCGCCATTAAATCTGAGGGGGTCGTGTCCCCCTCACATTTCATAAGTATTCGCAAAAAATTGGCAAAAAATATTATGCCAATGTGTCTCCCCCCCCACATTAAAAATGATTCTGACGCCCCTGGTGTAAAGTATATACATTTTTTTTCCTCATTCACTTGTTCACGTGTAGCTGCAGCACATATAAACATCTTTGGCGCTTTGGACATCTGCCTCCCCGGGAACTGAAATGCAAATATTCAAATATTGGCAACTATTAGGCCTATAGTTTTGGATAAAGCAACGGAATAAAATATTAAAATGCTCAACTGCGCGCAATGCAACAACACAATGAATACATATGATTTTTTCGGTACTTTCTCTGTATTGTATTTACAGGGTTCTATTTTATACCCGTCATATTGCACTCTACAGACCTAAAACGCCGAATATCCAAAGCATTACATCCTCATGACTAGTAGGGGAACGTAAATTTTAAGTCACGAAATCGAAACTTTTCTTGGTCCTTTCGGATATCTGGTATAGTTTGTCGATACATTAATTTAGGAAATACGAATGTCAGTAATTAGAAACCTACGTTAAATAACATAACAAGACAATGATTAATCAACTTCCCTCAATACAACAAAATACTTCATGCAGCAACATTGCCTCCTATCCGTAGTCAACAAAACACTACATATCTGAAGTACCTACGGTAGACTCAAAGTGGACTTAAACAACTAAAAAATGTCTCGATTTGGCTACTACAAGTCAGAACGCGGTGTTACTTTTTATCGTTATGATGAAACAGTATGACTATAAATGTAGGCATAGGCCTACATATAATAAAGGACAACGATAACTATAACATTCTCATCTTTAAGGCAATTTAATTTCTGATATTCCATGTCACTGAAAACAGCCCGTCGAATTTAAAGTTCAGAATTTTTCATAACTCATAATATATAGGCACAGTGGTAAATAAAACTTTCAATATATTTGCCACATGGAATGTATGAACAGATTTAAATTGATTGTGTGTGCATATATATATATATACACATACACATATATATAGGCTTTTTAAAAGGTCAACATGGAAATGATTTCTTTCCAGGGGCTGAACACTTAAACATGTAGGCCTATTTACAGATGCTATGAAAAAGCATAGGCCTAACATATTAAATATTCCGGAGGGAAAAACGCACTGAATGAACTTTCAGATATGTAGACAGACAGTAAATATACACACAACCAGCAAATTTCAACGATGTTATGATTCCTGAAAAGAAAAATCCGTAACAGGTCCTTTAGATGTTACGAACCAGCATATTAGCGCGCTGTCAAGAGCAGCAGTCAGTTTAATGGCAACACGCTCTATTGATTTTAGCTTTTTCAGACAGCGCTATTAGGAAGGCAAGCAAACGTAGGGATATTGGTTATTTCTGGAAAGTTCCAAAAGGAACGTTTAATAAATTAAATTATAAACTATTTTAATGTGTTTAATTAACAAATTTGGCATATTTCCAGTTTATAAATGTATCACAAAACTTTTCTTAATATTTGATGCAATTTGAAGAAAGAGAATATATACTGCTTATATATGGAAGAAGGTGAACTCAGTGTCTCCTGTCTGTGTATGTAGGACCAGGTGGTCTTCAGACTCACTTTAATGATCTGACGAGTTGGGTGTTCGGAGTTGCCTCTGCAACTATTGCTGTACTGAGTTGTTAATTTTACACTTGTGAACTTGCTATTACTTTTAACAGGCCTGGCCATTCTCCTTTGACCAAGGTGCCAATTACTAGATGTTTTTTGTCTTTTTTTTGTGCCATTCTCTGTAAATTATAGAAACAGTAGATTCCCAAGAGTGTAGCTGTTCCTGAGATGCTGGAACCACCACAACTGGCACCAAGAATTATAACGCATTAAAAATCACTTAGATCACTCATCTTAGCCATTCTAATGCTTAGCCACACAGTAAGTGAACCCCCTGACCCTGTCTGTATGTTGTCTGTTATTCAGTTGCAGTCACATGACTCACTGCATGTAGTAATGAATAGTCGTACCTAATAAAGTTGCCACTGAGTCTAGTTTGTAACTCTGCGCAACTGTGAACTTGTGCATTTATACTGATGTTTCGTTAGTTTATGTTTCCTGTACCAAACCTGGAAGGAATTAATCTTGGACTGTCAGCTCCAATGTGGTAACTTAAGATAGATCATTCTTTAGGTCAAGGTCCTACAGGTTTTGGTTGCATCCCAGATTCCATCCAAAGGAACAACCCAAGTTCCAAGATATATAGAGCAGAGTCCTGTTAATCTTCTTGGACATATTTCACTTTGCACTTGCAGGACGCCTATACTGTAAAATTAGCATGTATTGAGATTTGCAACATAGCATAAATTATCTTGTCCGTTTATTGGTCTTCATATTGACTCGCACAGTTCTTCGGAAACGTGAAATGCACGTTATAATGCTTCCGTGGTTTGTATGACGTCCTGTTGGTTTTGTTTTTCTTATAAGAAGTAGATGAGCAAATAATAGTCTGGATAGCTGGTGTGGGTCGATTTCACATGAGAAAATCTCTGACAAAAACACGCGTCTTTGCCATAAACATGGAGAATTAGATAATCCAGGCTTCTTCGTAAACTTAAAAAAATCTTAAGCATTTTTTTTACGTACCAGTTGCTCAGGAAAAGTTCATTTTAATATCTTATCTTCAAAGTTTTTTTAAACTCCTTTTTACATTCCTTATAAAAAAAAAATCGAGCAGAAACGTTGAGTAATCTCAGATAAATTAACCCAAAATAAGGAAACATTGGTAAAAGATTCAAGTATTTCAAAATCGCTTGACCCACTGCTCAGTTGTAATTCTCATTATTATAATTATCCTTATTCATGATAGTACTCTCCTAATGTTTGGTTGATCTATGGCTGTACAGTGTGGCAATTCTCAACATAAATCTGACCAGGCAGTGCTTAAATAAATTGTGAGATGATCTCATTTGATGGGTTTTAGGCTAATCTTTTTTCTATTGGCTGAATATGTTCTGTAAATCATCGTGTAAGGCATAATTATCGCCAGGCTGCAAAGACTAAGGAAGGAGCCAACATTCTGAACAGAACTTTACTACAAGCTTGCTGTCTTAGCTTTAAAATTGTATTAATTGTCAGATTAATTCAAACTAGAAACAGGTGACAGCAGGCCATCGAACAACATGCAATTTTATAGGAAAAAGGCAGAAGTATTGCACAAATTTTATGTAACTTAAAGTAATTTTTGGTACTTGTGGGGAAAAAAAAACAGATGGGATAGTTCATTCTGCACTGAGCTTATAAACTTAATATGCCACAAGACTACATCTACACATCTGCAGTCTGTGGCCAATTAATATTACAGAGAAAGTTCCTTTTTTAGGTATATTTTTAACAAGCATTATTGGTAACAATGCAGCTGTTTCAAGTGAGCAATTTTTCCATGTGTGTCACCATTTAAACATGTGGTGAGATACAGTGACCTTTTATTTTTTTCTTAATGTTCGCCAAATAGTTTCATATTAAAGCAGGGCACACACACACATAGATATATGTATGTATATATATATATATATATATATATATATATATATGTGTGTGTGTGTGTGTGTATATATATATATATATATATATATATATATGTGTGTGTACAGTATGTGTGTGTGTGTGTATATATATATATATATGTATGTGTGTGTGTATATATGTATTTATGTATGTCTACATGCATATATATACATGTCATATATACCCACAGACGGTCCACATTTTTGCTCCCTCTGAGCTCCGTCTGACAGTCCATGTCCAAGGACCTGACTGGGAAACACTGATATAAGTAATTCAATGACTGGATGTATGTATGTATGTATGTATGTATGTATGTATGTATGTATGTATGGGTGGATGGATGGATGGGTGGATGGATGCATGTTGTGTGTTGTTTAGACACGGGACATGGCACACCAGTTTCCCAAAGATGCAGGGCACTGCTTAGAACTTTCACTGCACTATGAATTGGTCCTGGGCTGAGATGAAATGATACATGATTTGCATATGTATACCGGGATGCTTCTCTTTGCATATCTCATCTTGCTCTCCTTTGAGACACAAACACATACAGCTGAGTGAAGCTTGGAGTCCGAACGCAGGGTCATGCTATTTACTCGGCACACCTTCTGCACTTCTGGGGGGGTTGAGGGCCTTTGTTTAAAAGCTCAACAGCTGTGACTATTCTGGCGATACCGGGACAGTCATCATTCAGAGGATGCTGCAGGATACGTTACAGACCCCAAAGCCAGCCAACCTATTATGTGAGATGCATTAATATATTCATATGTAGGACTTAATAAGGAGTAGGTCCACCAGTTGCCATTAAAACAACTGCGGCATTCTTGAAAAGCTTTCACGCAGCCTTGCGCTGTGTATACTGAGATATTCTACGATTTTTCAAGTAGGAATATGAACATTGCATGGAGGTTCAATGGTAATTAGATCTGATGATTAGGCAAGCCAAGGAAAGCGCTGAATTTTTGGGCTTTTGACTAGTGTACCCTACATAACAATACA